GCGTCCAACGGAACTAAAGCGTTTGCACCCTTCGACTTTGAAGCGGCTTTGAAGCGTGCAAATCAGGAAACGGGAAATTGTTCGTTAAAAATGTACTTAGATAGCAATACACATGGCTCTGGAATGGATCAATAACACTCGTTAAAAGGCTAAAATGTATTTGTATGGGTTCAAGAGTTTAAGCTAACGTTTGGCTAGGAAACTGCTAAAAAATATACTAAATATAACATATAAAAAGTACAAACAAAATTTAAAATATCACAAAAATTATTCAAACACATTCTACGAACTAAACCTAATTAAAATAAAAAAATAAAATTAAAAACTTTTATTTATGCCAAAACTACGTCTGTTTGAACATTTAATGCATATTATTTTATTTCTTTGCAGTATTTATCGATCAAAGAAAAAAGGCTTTCTTTATATATCTATATATATTATAATCCAGCCACGAATGTCGATCCGAATAATTTTATATTCATTATGGTGAAAATCCTAAAACTCTATGCACGCATTTAAAGTTGTGCTATAGAAATAAAATAATCATATATATGTTAAGATATTTTATTTATGAACATGTGCATTTCGTATTTATTAAGCGTGTAGATAGACAGACGCGGAGGGTATGAGGCATTTAGAGTTCGTGTCGCATGCTCAGAGACAAAATATCAGCATATCTATGTATACATATTTAATGTGTTTGTGTGTGAGTGTGTGTGTGTGGGTAAGTTATGAATATATGAATGGTTCGCTTGACAAAACCGTTAACAACTTTTGAAAACATGCAGCATTGATGGCTGCCTAAGGGTTGCAGTGCTTCAGTCGTCACCGAACTGAACAAATCTGAGTAAATCTGTAAAATTAAAACAAAATGTCAGACATGTCAGTTAAAAAAAATAAAATAAAATAAAATATATATTCCTAAATATATACGACAACAGCTCACACGACGTCAGACGCGTCAGATTCGTCAGCATTTGCTGCATATGCTTTTACAATTTATACATATTTGTATGTCTGGTCGTTATTTAAGGACTGCAGGTCCTGTTGCTGCTGCTGACTGCTGCCATGTTATTCTTTCGAGATTTATAAGCACACATACCGCACACCCGCACTCACTTTGAGGAGGGCGGGGGGCAAATGTAAGTGGCATATTTATGCATGCATTGTATTGACACCATAAAAAATCCAAAAGAGGCAACGATATGTTGCACGGAGAGGAATTGATTGCAAAAGGAACACAGTAGAAGATCAAAATTAAATTTATGCCCGCATGTAATTATAGCTGCAGCATGACTTCCACTTCAAAAAAATTGTATTAACATTAAAAGATATGTTTTATTAACGGAATTAAAACAGAATGAACAATGAACAAACACATGTAAACAAACAAGCAACACAGTTCTTAAAGTTAACAAACAACAAAATTAAAATTAAATCGTTTGTTTTTGCCAATAATTTAATTTAATATATATTAATATGTACATAAAATGTGTATAGCTAACTCTGTACTGTAATTTCCAGCCACATTATTCATATACATAATTTTTAATGAACCTTTTCTCTCAGTGCATAGCACAAGCCATCGCATCATTCATATAACACTTGATATATGTATATTTGTACGCAGGTTTTACCTTGCATTGTTTGCAAATACACGAATATACAAATATATGTTCAAATATACATATATGTACTTTTTTTTCGCATTGCCCGTAACCTATGGAACAAAGCACGTACTTATTGATTGGCCATTATGTTCTTTATAGTATTTTGCAATTAAAATCAATTCGAAAAGTATTTTTTACGTATTTGATTTTATTTGCTGTTGCGTATTATTTTTATTTGCACCCCCACACAATTTCGAGCTCATTAAAAATTTTCAACTGAAATATTTTGCCGGAAGCTGCGTTTCAAATGTTCAAATGTGCATACGTGTGGGTGTGTGTGTGTGTGTGTGCGTGTGGGTGAGTGCCCCTAACGTGCCAGGGCTGCCGTTTGTAAACAGTTCAACACAAAAGTCTGCCGTCGCAGCGAACAACAACTTGCCCCCAGCTCTAAGCAGTTAGCATACTTTTTCCCCTCACTGTGGCTACAGCCCTTTTCCGGCTGTGTGTGTGTGTGTGGGTGTGTGTGCAGGGTATGTATTTTAGTTTGCAAAATTACATGCGGATACATTTAATTAGATGGCGTACACATATATTATGTTTTATTTAGATGCAGGTTGCCGCTAGTTGCGGTAATTTTGGCTACACATGTCACATATCTGGCGTCCCCTCGAGCGCCAGCGTATACGTGATTCGCACGCGTGGCACATCCGTCGAGCTGCAAATTAAGCTAACACAGTTAAATGTGGCGTACCAATTGATATAATCATATTTGTGGCCATAAAGAGTTGCAATAGTCGCGAGAAAAACAGGTTTTATTTAAGTCGCATAGACAACCTTGCCTAGCCGCACATTCACTCAACGCAACCCCCTTTTGCCTGCTGGCATTTCACATTTGATAACATTTCGATTTGATATATTTTTTTCCCGACTCTCTCTTTCTCTCTCCCGCATTGCTATCCTCACACTCACACTGCATCATTACCACTTTTATTGGCGTCTTCAGTGTCTGCGTGTGTTTCCTGTATCGACGAGTCGCCCGTCTCGTGCTCAAGCAATATATCAATGACACACGCGCCACATACACACACATGCTATATATTTATGTACAACAAAAAAATGTATGTGTGTATATATGTAACTGGATACCTACTCGCATGTCGCCTCGCAAACACGTCTGTCCATTTCCCCTCACCATCCCACTCTCTCTCTCTCTCTCTCTCTCTCTCTCTCTCTCTCTCAGGCTCCCGGGCAGTTGTTTAAGCGTTTTGTCTGCTGCCTTTTCTATAAAATCCTTCTTACAACTATTGCTAAAGAGAGTTTAATACTTCGTCAAATACACTTGCTGAGGGTTTTATATCTTTGTCAGAAGTTATGCAAACAGATGTAAACTCTCAGAATATTATATCACATAACAATCGTATAAGAAATCTATCGAATAAAGAATGTTTTAGTTAATTGATAGTCAATATTTCTTAATAAATAAATCACATGTTAATTAAAATAAAATAGTAATTATGATTTTTTAACACATTTAAATAGAATATTATAATAATTTAAAACATTATAACAACTATATATCTGCGTATATTAGATTACAATATATTTATTAATATTTATATGTTTCGGGCTTTAAATAACAGTACAGCTTACAGTAAAACTTAATTAAATTATTAGCATTTTCATATGTTGATATAAAAAGTTTGATGAAAATTAAATTACCATGCAGTATTTCAGGGTATTTCATAGACACCTTCTCGATGTTGTCTCCACATTCCTTCTTATTTTTTATATACATATGGAACTCAGAATCAGTCGCCATCTTAACTTGGTTGGCTTTTTGTCTGCGCTTCATTTCATTTCTTTGTTAACATGATTCGTTTTTTATGGTAACTGTGAATGGATTTACTCCATTTGGCTTAAATACTTATTTTAGCTTAGTTTGCTCACAAGGCCACACCCCCTTAACCGCCCAGCTCGACGCTAGCAACTGGAAACGCTGTGGGAGAACCATTTGGCCGGGTGACTTAATTCATTTGATGCATTATTTAAATTGCAACGCAAGCGTATTGAAGGTCCACAAAAAGACAGCACAGCGCGAACTATTCACCTCCTGACCATCTGAAGCTGATTGCTTTTTGTCATTGTCCGAAGGTTGGCCAAGTGGTTTCAGCCAGTTTTGCAGTTTAAGTACAAACATTTTTTTAGAAATGTGTGTGTTTTATTTTGAACTGAAGACTTGAAACTTAGCAAACATATTTTCAGGTAAATTCAATTAGTTTTCTTTTAATAAATGAATAAGTCTCTTTAAACAGATACTATTATATGTAAGTACACCTTTTCTTTTTTGCATCTTCTTGTTAAACCTTTACTTGGCAACTCTCTTAAAATGAAAATCATTTACTTTCCAATAGCTGGGCAACTCTGGCGCACTTCTGACGTTTAATCAAATATATTAGCTCCCCTCATTTCATTTTTGTTTTGGTTGCCTTAGAGCTCACACTCAAAAACAAAATAAAAAACACCAAAAAAAATGAACGTTACGGTGAACGACTGTCTGGACAAGATGTCGAGCTTGGGTCTGGGCGATCCCGAAGCACAGGCACTGTCGGCATTATCTAGTTTCAAGGATGGTTCGGACACCACTAGCATTTTAAACGGAGCTTCATTTGAATGCTATGAGTCAAGTGATTCGGAGGGCGTACAGTCGGCACCGGAACTAAGCGAATCTCAGCGGAAAAGCGAAAATGCCCGCATGTATCCGCTGGAGGTGAAACTATACTGGACTTACGAAGAAGTCGAGCGGGGTGCCATGAAGAAGAAGCGCAAGAGATGTGTGGATGTGTATAACGGGATAACAGTCAAGCGCAGGAAGTGCATCAAGGAATGGGCAGAATTAGCCAAATGTTATCAAAGCAATGAAAGTAATCAGCAAAAAACTCCAACTAAACAGGAAATTGGATATGATGCTGATGATGAGTATTAATAAATCCATTAATACTCTTAAAATTACTATAAAAAAATTAATTTGTTGATGCACGAAATAAATATATAATATACACTAAGATATAAATGCAACAAAAAGTGTGCTTCAACTAAGGAATTTATGGAAATCTTACAAGCTATTTAGCTGGAGGCTGAACATTAATAAACTTAATACTAATATATTAAGCTTAGCAATTATAATTAGTCAGATAAGCAGAGTATATAAAGTTAGCTCAATAGGTTAATTAAGTCATCAAGAATAGGGCAAAAGCATGGTTATGGTAAAGGGAAAGCAGATTTAGCTTATAAAACTCTCGTCTAAATATTATTCTCCTTATGGTAAAGGTAAGGCAGATGTTGCATATAGAACTTTCATCTACATTTTCTACATACCAAAAATAATGGAAGCAGACAAAAAATATAAAGCTAGCAAAACTCTAAAATCAAAGTAGATTTGAAATATCAATCATGAGTTTTCCCACCTAGGCTCGGTCCCAATTCAATAGCTTCAGTCTTACGGCACCGATCAAAAGTAAAACACCTACATATTTTTTTTATTTAATTTTGTCTTTAAAATGTTCATTGGTCCAGTTCAAAAAGGTAAAATGTGTGTTTTAATATTTGTTAGCTTATGTTTTTAATAAAATTTCTTTTCGTTGCCAAGAGCACCTCCACATGATGATCCTTGGCTGTGGTTGGCCGTGTGGATCTCTGAGTGGACCCTGCTGCGGTGGATGCTGTGGCAGCTTGTGCGGTGGCTGCGGCGGTTGTTGCTAATCTTGAACGAGCTATTAAAGACCTTTGGACCTGGACCAATGCACATCAGTTGCCAGGATCTTTGCGAAGCAAATGAAACCACAATTAACATCTGCAAGCATGTGCAAAGTCTCGGCATGAGGAATGTTTAATAAATTGTTGTGAGACGTTATTATGCTTGTTTTTGTGGGCTTTAATGGGGCTCTTTAAGGGCGTGGCTGGTTGTTAAAAACAAATTTCAAATGGCTTTGATCCTATATAGATTAAATTGCACAATTCGTGAGACAAACGTCTACAAACCAAAGCTCTTATCACTGCTTCCAAACATTTTGGATTAATATACTTCTCATACCTGGGGTCAGTCTTGGATACAGTTCTGTAAATCGCTGTGGATTCTGCTGCAGGCTTCTGCGGTGGCTGCGGCATACTGTCCTTCGAAACAGAACTAATGCACATCAGTTGGCAGGAGTCGCAGAAGCCACACAAAATCAGGTTTGACGTCTAGAAGCAAAAGCATTTTGGTATAAAAATGTAGGAGTTTTGTGGTCTGGCTTAAATGCAATATATTTTTGCAGAATAGATTCGATATCTTAAACTACTCTCAGCTCTTGAGTTACTTGTGGTATATGGTCTGGGCTCTATTACATTTTTACAATTCTTTATACGGTTATTTTCTTCAAGGAAATTAGTGTACCAATTTTTTCTAGCAAACAATGGCTGTTAAAACAATACATTAAAATCTTTATTTTATCTTTATATACTATTTTAATATTTTTATTGAATTATTTAACAGTCTGCGCTGGGCTTTTTAAATAATGTAATCATTGACTTAGCCACTTGGCTCTTTTAAGGAACTAAAGCTCTATTGCCATTGGCATCGGCCAGCCACTTAGCTCTGCCTTTCTTCGCAGTAAAAGAGTTCAATTGGAATATCTTATTAACAGTTAAAAATTAAAAAGGATTTTTAAAGTGCATACAAAATTTTAGCAATATCAGAGCGACTAAAAGCATCAGAAGAAGCCTTCATATTTTACTTTCGGAAAAAATTAGTTAATTTGCATATTCTATTAAAAACAAATATTTGACTAAAAACTTGTAATCAAAGTAGCTTTGAAAAACTAATCATAAATTGTTCGACCCAAGCCCGCTCCTTGTTGAATTTCTTCAGTCTTACCCTACTCAGCAAAGGAATAACACCTAAATTTTTTCCAAATTAAAATCTTCAAAATGTTCATTGGTCCGGTCCAGAAAGGTAAAAATACTTTTCATAAAATATAGTTCATAATTTTTTATTTTTATTCATTTTTCTATAGAACATCTGCACAACATGATCCTGGGATGTGGTTGGCCCTGTGGATCACTGAGCGGACCCTGCTGCGATAGCTGCTGTGGTGGCTGTTGTGGTAGCTGCTGTGGAGGTTGCTGTGGTGGCTGCGGCTGGTGATATTTAAGCTGGCGGTGTTGGACCCGGACTAATGTGCAACAGTTGCCTTGATCCATATGAAAATAGACCACAAACGACATCCACTTGCAAACGCTATTTTAAGGCATTGTTGTTCAACGTGAAGAATGTTTAATAAATAATCGAAGTGAGACTTACCAAAAACGCTCTCTTTTCAATACTGAACCTATGGCAGTAGCCATTGGTTGTTCCTGGGTAGTTTCAAGATGGTATATGAAAATAAATTAGGTTCATTCTTGGGTAATCATACACATTGCGAATAAAACTAAAGAATCTGTGCTGGGAAAGAAATTTCAAAGCACCCTTGATAAATTAGTCTCCTCCAACGTACAGTTCTACCTTCCGGTACATAAGGGCACCTATAAAAATAAACGAGTAAACTAAATAGAAACGGAAGATTTGAACATTATCTAGGTTGCGATAGGCTCTGTGGATTAAGTGGAGCCGGAGACACCAGCGGATGCTGCTTTTTGAGCAGTGCATACAGATAAAACGACATTTTGGGAAAAGCCCCTCAGGCAACAAGTATCAAATTATTATTAAACAAAGGTGTTTTAGTATGAAATGCTGCCCAATAATCCAGGTAGGTAACTAGTGTAATGCTGCGTACTGTGGTCATGGTTTGATATGTATTTTGATTTATTGAAAGGAACTGAACTGCACAGATCATTAAGACCTTTAAAGGCTCTCTCTTAAAGTAGAAACTGACCGCCACTATTTTAGTCGGCCCTGTTCTAGTGTATAGGATTAACAAACGGGCTAAGTTCTAAGGAACACTATTCTAAAATAGCACATCTGATACTACACCCATGATAATCCAAGATTTGGAAGCATGTTAACCACCAATTAAGTCATTCTTTTCGTATCTGATTCAACCTTATCTGACATGGTGTATACCATTTTATATTGCATGTATTTATATTAATACGTGCATATACTTTAAGAAGTCCACGAAAGTTCCAGCTGCCAGTTCATTGAAATTGCACGAATAAAAGCTCATATGAATTTCAACAAGAAATATAGGTCGAAGCACCTTTGAAAATTCAATCGTATATTTTACCCACCTAAGTCCCAACAATACTTTCTAGTCTCAATCTTGAAAGTTATCCTAAGCGAGCAACAACTAAATAAATTGTAAAATTCTATCTTCAAAATGTTTATTGGTCCAGTTCAGAAGGGTAAATATATATATATTTTTTTAAATAATCAGCTTTCATGTTCATTTTCCCATAGAGCATTTGCACAACATGATCCTGGGTTGCGGTTGGCCCTGTGGATCCTTAAGCGGCACGTGCGACACCAGCGGGTGCAAGTAAAGTCGACAGCTCGTTTGATGCTCTTTGGACATGGACCAATGCATTAAGAAGGGAAGTCTCTTATAATTAATTCGGGCAACTAAAACACAAAAATAGATGTTAAACATAAACATAAATAAAAAAAAATTTGTATTTATGGACTAAAGCTTAAAATTGATCGATTTTTCATTACACATTCGTTTTGCCCGATTCCTCTACCCCTCAGCAATACATTAGGCATATTTCGCAGTTCGTGGAGAAGTTTCCAAAATTTGCACCTCTTGAAAATCAGGATGTTGGCCCTGTGGGTCATTGAGCGGCCCGTGTAAAAACTGCCGCCAGTTTGATGCATTTGGACATGGATCAATGCATTCAGGCACAAAGCACATCAATTAAAATGAAATAAAATAAAAATATATGTATTTTTTTATCTCTGACCTGTATTACATATATTTGCCTCTGCAGATCATTGCCAGATATTCTATTTTAATTTTAGTGCCTGCATTTTCACAATCATATCTAAAAAATTGAAATCAAATATAAATCAAACCACCTTTGAAAACCTATCACTTTCGATTTAATTCATCTGCCTATTTTATGTTAGAATTCAATCTTGCACCAGACACCAAAAGAGCAACATCTAAATTGTTTGTATTCTTTTTCTGCAAAATGTTTATTGGTCCGGTTCAGAAGGGTGAATACATAAATTAATAAATGAATAAAAAAAACAATTCAATTGACCAACTCGTACACTATAGACGCATGCTTTGAATCATATCATAATCACAAAAGTATAAAAATTAAATTGAATTAAACCAAAAATCAAGTCAGCTTTGATAAATTAATCCCGATCAAGGCAACCCAACATCTATTTTGTTATATTCAATTCAGTCTAGCACCAGAGTCCGATTGAAAAACACCTAAATTTTCTGTATATTTAAATCTTCAAAATGTTTATTGGTCCGGTTCAGAAAGGTAAGCGATTAAATTATTAAACGCAATTGGTTTAAATATCTACTTCAACTGTAGAACACCTGCACGATATGATCCTTGGCTGTGGTTGGCCGTGTGGATCGTTGGGCGGTTCTTGTAAGAGCAACGGTGGCTGTTGATTGTCAACGAATCGATGCGTCTAAGGCTGGATCAAATGCATGAAAACAGATGCGACGACTCACCTACATTATGTATATACCTTAAAGTTCAGGCGTAGTTAGTTAAATATTTAAATAAATGCAATAGTATAGACTAAGACTGTCAAACATTTGTACATGCATATTTTTGTATATCTACCTAAACCTATTTGAATATGGGTTGAATGTAATTCAGGTGCAACGTTCAAGCATTTGCTCGGAATTTTTGACAAATGCCAATATCAAGCACGCACAACCTGCAGACTCAATGAAGCTTATTAGAAACACGGGCCAATGCAGTCGATACTTAATTGCTGTGGTGCAGGCCTCAAGTACGAGTAGAGTGTGGCATATGGCATACGGGAACCGAAGCCAAGCAGCAGCCATAATGCCCGACAGGGTCGGGTTACGGAATTATATTTAAGCTGCAGCATGCTGCAGGTAATTGTGGCAACAGCAAAATGAAAGCAGCCACAAGCGTTCTGGCATTGAAATAAGCTAACGAGCGATTTTAATTAATGTCAAGTGACACAAGTGCTGCCCAGAAATGGGAAAAAAGAAGAAGGAATGTGCATGGGGCGTAGCTCATTGTTGATGTCAGCAATTGAGTTGTTCAAAGTAAATTGCTAGCCAAGTTGCTCATACGCCCCATGTGGCACATGCAATTATTAATGACTGCTGCAAGTGGTGCAACACACGAAAAAGGCAAATACACACCCGTCGACCGCCTGCTGACATTTCAATTCATTTCGGATCGCACTGGTGTCTGTTTTGTATATCACGTATTAGATTGTTGGGGCCAAATGCCTGGAGAGATGATTTCCATCATTCATTTCCTCCAGCACAGCGGCGTCTGTCGAGCTGAGTTTTCAGCTGCTAGCAAAAGTGTTGCCACTTTGAATTATGAAGCCAGTGTGTACACGCTAGCATCATCATTGGCCACCTCTATGCATACAAGTAATCCCCCACACACACACACAAACACAAAAACGCACACAGATACACAATATGATGACGCAGCTTTGGGAATAAGCAGCTGAGAATCTGAGTGGCAGGCAAATGAATTGTTTCTATTCGCACGTTTCCCTCTCATGTTAGCTGAACTTGACTCGTCCTGCCTTAGCTCCCCCCAGACTCTCCTGGCCGTCCTGGCGGGCAAGTCGAAGCGTTTAATAAGCGCAATATACATCGATATGAATAAGTAATATGAATATTGCGCATATGCCAACAAGTTAATTGGATGAAAGCGAGCCGCCAGCAAACTGATATCATAATTCAAAGGACTCTAAGGACACGCGCTTGCTCGAATACATTTTAATCAGTTTATTTTTAAAGCCAAAATATGGACTGCAATTTTTAGTTAAAAATATGTTTTATACTAAGCAAGAGCAATTACGTATATTTTTACATGCTTGCATATTATTGACAATTAAAAAAAAATATTTGTTCAATGCTTCATAATTAAAAATTTTTATTTTTTTACGAGCTTTTTAAAATCAAAATTTGTAGCTAGAACATATAATAAATGTCCGTAAATTAATTAAGTAAAAATTGTTTTTGTAATTCCTAATACAGATCTAAAAACAAAATAATAATTTCGCATTTCCCAATTTGGATTTCAGGTCAGTCCGGTTTATTGATGTGTAGTTGTAACTAATTTAAAAAATTTGGAATTCAATTATAAACATAACTAATTTGATTCAGCTGCTGTGTGAAACGTTAGCAAGTCCTACGTATAGTTGGGTACAAGTCCTCAGAGTTCATGTTATACATCTTATAAATAAAATCGTATAACACTATGGGGCTCAACTAATGCTATACATCTGTTGGTATGCCAGTTTGAGGAGAGTCTGCACGGCTATAATACAGAGCATGCCCAGATAAATTTTCCAATTGAAGAGCCCCAGCAGGGAGCTGTCCTCGGAATTGGACGGCAGCATAAGACGCACCGCATAGGATTCTGGCTGCATGTGCAACAATCCAGAGCTGGACGTTGGCGCCTCATTATTGCGATTTGCCCAGTCTATGTCATCCACCCGATCGTAGTTAAAGGTATTTACATAGTTCATTTGCTGATCGATGGGCGACATCTGCGAGCGCTGCAAGTTTTGAAATTGGGGACGCCTCGTGGACAAGTTGCTGTGCCGGCCCACATAGCGCAGCACATGGCTGCCCACCACAGACACCTTGCGCACCAGCGTATGTGGACGTGGACGGGCGCGCTCCACTAGCGGCAGCAGCGGCAATGATTGCTGCCTCATGTGAACACCATCGCCGACCTGACTGTACTCCCGCACCCTGCCAGTTGTAGTCGCAGGCGGCAGCAAGCTATGTACAATGTGCGGCGCTGTTGCCAGCATCATGTTGGCCATAAAGGGACTGGCCAGGGGATCAGCTCGTACGGCGAAACGTAGCGGATTGGTTGATTCTTCTACCGAGGACATGGCAGTTTAGTTGTTAGAATTTGTACTGTACCAAAAAATTTGTTCTGAAATCATGGAAATATTGTTAGAAAGCCAAGTGAATCGAAAATAAAGGGTTGCTTAGCCATCTATTGCCTCTTTCTTTCACTCACGCTCCCTGTCTAAAATATCGCCTTTCTATGTGATTTTCATAGATTTCAAAATAGCTATATGATATTAACACAACACGATGGGGATAATATATTAAAAGATCTACGTTCATAATCTGTTTCTCGGTCCACTTCCCATTCTCAGTCTCTATCTCTCTCACTCCTCCTCCTCATTCTTTCTTTGGGTTCTAATTGCTTAGCTCATCTCCTTAACGCCTTTCTATGCGATTTGCATAAATTCACATAGAGCTTACAGATTTTGTAGTTTTCTTTTGGCTCTCTTATAGTTATTTCCGTTAGAAATATGATAGCCTCTCCCTCTCGCCCTGTCTCCATAGCAGCAAACAATCACATTATAGACTGCTTCCCTTTTGGTGCCTCTAAGGATGCATTGTCCAGGATCTTCGAGCAGCACGCAGTGTGTCGCTGTTGTGCATTTATGCAAATCAAATGCCACGATGAGTGTGTGTTAGTGTGCGAGTATTCGTAGCTGTGCCACATGTTGCGAGCAGCCAAAACAACTTCATGGCCAAGCGCAAAAAACTCACATGCGGCTGAAGCAAGTAGAACACGATGCACCGGAAATAGCAAGCGAGCCGCACACACAAGCAAAGATTCAACACACACACACACACACACACAGACACTGGGAAGAGTCGCGTTCATTTTGCGTTTTATCTGTGGCCGCAAGTGTGGCAAGTGCTCGCCGCAGCGCCTGAAATTATGCTAATTTTTTGGCTTTTTATGCAACAGAATTCTCCAGCCGCTGCCCCAGCTACAGCTACTACTACTGCTGCTGTTGGTGGTGGTGGTGGTGCAACATGAAGGACATTGAAATTTATAAGCAATGGGAGATGCGAGATGCGAGTAATGGGCAACAGTTGGAGACGCGCTGCTGATAACGTGGCATTAATAACTGCCGCTTGGGCGTCTCTCTTTGTTGATTGAGCATTTTGCAACGCGCATTTGCTTATCTATGCAGCCACCTACACGACGCTCCACTGTGCCAAGCCCAGTATTTGTTGCTCATTTGGGAGCTGAGCAAAGTGTCAAGTTGTTGCAGTCGGAGCCCGTTACATAAACCTTGTGCCCCTGATAAACTCTTGACCGCCCTTGGACAATGCGACCACATTTGTAGAGCCACTGGGCTTGTCCTGCAGTTGGTCCTTCTTTTGCATATGCAATGCTTTGTTCGTGAAGCTTTTGAAAATTTCAAAAACTTGTGTTGGTCAGCTCTCCAGTGGCTACTTAAAGTGCCGTCAAGTGTTGCATTTATTTTGTGTGTTTCCCTCTTTTTTCTCTCTCGACTTTCTCTCTTTTTTGTTTGGCTCTACAACGATTGTTGTCGCTGTGCGGCAAAAGGGCCAACATATGAATGTGTTGCCAAATTGAGCGCTAGTTGTTGTAAATTTGTCGAGAACGTTAAGGGAAACCGGGCAAAGAAATGCAACACACAGCAGCTAAATTTTTCAAACGTTTTTCGTCTTGAGTTTTTCAATTGAAAAAGGCAAAAAATACCACGAACAATATGTGAAAAAGTTTTCATAAGATTTCAAAACAACTATTTTCAAAAAGTCCGTTTTTTATTCCAAGCAGTCTTAAGGCTTTGACGCTATTCTTAAATATAAAGAGAATTAATTTATATTTATTAATTAATCGTTAACTCTCATCTTTATTATTTTTTGAGATGCAGCGAGAATCTTTTTTAATTTCTCAGTGAAGTCTTTTATCTAATCTTTTCTAACTATTCTGCACAAATAATACTTATATGCTGGTATGGTAAACTTTCAACCTCTTATTGTTATTATAATTTTTGCTTAGTACTGGGTTTTTTATTTAGCATTTTGAATATTAATTGGCCTGACCTAACTATACAAAGAACTTATGCCAATTTAGAAGAAGTCTTTTAATATATTTACTATTTGATTTAGACCTCAAATTATTTTATTAATATTAAAGCTTTCGATTTATCTGCACTTGATAGTTGAAAATTGAAATATTTTCTATTCGTCTCTAATAGATTTTTGGAGTATCCTATAAAAATGAGTATGTGCCGCAAAACCGCAAATATACGTCACATTCCGCTTCTTACACACACACACACACACACATACACAGGCTGCTTTAATGCGCCACATTTCATTTCTAACACACACACACACATCTATACGAATATATGGTGGGCATATTTTTGTTTTATTTCACAGTCGGTTCGAAGTTGTTCTGCGGACCAAGTTTAGCGCCAGCTTGCAATTTGCCTTCAACTTGGCCAAAATGACCAAAGGGCTGAAGGCGTAAATTAATTCGGTCTGGTCAATGGGCAGTTGCCTCAAAGTATGCAACGCTTAACGTTAGCTGAAAGCTGAAAGTATTTGCATTGCGCACACACACACACAAACAGCATGTCTGAGCTGTCGATTGTGCCGTTTTCTCTGATTTGCTGATTTCTCTACACACACAGACACACACACACACATACACACGGGCACAGCTATATAAAAACTTTTGTTTTACATTACACAATGCAAGAAAAGTGGCCGCAACTTT